GCTCCCGCCGCTTGTCTGGGAGAGATTAGGGGAGGGAGGGACATGTGCCCCCAAATCTGCCCAGCTGGGAAGAGCCCGCCCCAGCCTGCCCCGCACAGATCCGGGGGCACACGCCTTCTCTTCCCTCCCCGCACCCTCCTGGATGAGCAGTGGGAACAGCAGCAGGAGCCACCAGATGAGCACCAGACAAGCCACACCCCACTACCTCTGACAAGCTCCGGCTGGGCAGCTCCTGCCCCAGCCCCAACTCCAACCCTACACTCTCCCTCTCCTCAGGGGCCTTGATCTGCCCCTCCCACCATGGTCCTCCCCCTCCCCTTCCACCACACCAGACTAACCAGCTGCATGCAGCTCTCCACACTCCCGGCTGTGCTCCTCACTGCCTATGTGCTGCAGCTGCGTGCATGCATGAACATTTATCAGACAAATTATCAGCTGCATTGGGCCGATTTCCAATAGACAAAATTTCCTTTATATCGGTTCCATTCCAATATCAGACCAATGTATTGGTACACTTCTGTGATCCAACAATTGGATCCATGTTGGTAGACTTCTACCACAGTGAAATATATGATTTCTAGTGCTGAAAGTTTAATTTGTTGGTGCCACTATGTGAACTTCATGTAGTGTGTATCAAGGCTTTCTGTGTTATGGTCTTGTGTTTCATAGTTGGTAGGGTCGGAAGGGACCTGAGCAGATCATCAAGTCTGACCCCCTGCCATGGCAGGAAAAAGTACTGGGGTCAAACAACCCCAGCAAGGTGCTCATCTAACCTCCTCTTAAAGACCTCCAGGGTAGGAGCCAGCACCACTTCTCTTAGAAGCTGGTTCAGATCCTAGCCACCCTGACAGTGAATTAGCTCCTCCTGATGTCTAGTCTGAATCTACCCTCTGCCAGCTTGTGACCGTTATTTCTAGTCACTCCTGGTAGTGCTCGGGGGAACAGGGACTGCCCCAATACCTGCTGGTACCCTTTGACTAGTTTGTAAACAGCCACTAGATCCCCCCCCTCAGCCTTCTCTTGTGGAGGCTGAACAGGTTCAGGTAGCCCGTAGCCTCGTAGCCCCTCCTCGTAGGGCCTGCCCTGCTGGCCCCTGATCATGTGAGTGGCCTTCCTCTGGACCTCTCCATGTTGTCCACATCCCTCCTGAAGTGCAGCGCCCAGAACTGGACACAGTACTCCAACTGCGGCCTGACCAGTGCCGCATAGAGGGGGAGGATCACCTCCTTGGACCTGCTCGAGATACATCTGTGGATGCATGACAAGGTGTTGTTGGCCTTCCTGACCGCGTCCCCATACTGCCAGCCCATGTTCATTTTGGCATCAATAATGACTCCAAGATCCTTTTCTGCCTCTGCACTGACGAGAAGGGAGTTCCACAGCCTGTAGGTATGCTGCTAGTTCTTCCTCCCCAGGTGCAGTACTTGCACTGGCCAGTGTTGAAACCCATCCTCTTCTCATCCGCCCACCCCTGTCACCTGTCTAGGTCTGATTGCAGCCTCTTCCTCCCTTCTAACGTGCCCACATCCCCCCACATCTTAGTGTCGTCAGCAAATTTGAACAGGGTGCTTTTTACCCCCTCGTCCAAGTCGCTGATGAAGATGTTGAACAGTGCGGGTCCAAGGACCGAGCCCTGGGGGACCCCACTGCCCACATCCATCTAGGCAGAAAATGACCCATCCACCACCACCCTCTGGGTGCGGCCCTCCAGCCAGTTAGTGCCCCATTTGACTGTGTAGGTGTCAACACCAGAGTCCCCTAGTTTTTTAATGAGAATGGGGTAAGAGACTGTGTCGAAGGCCTTTCTGAAGTCCAGAAAGACTACGTCCACTTCTACCCCTGCGTCTAAGGATTTTGTGACCTGGTCACAGAAGGCCACCAGGTTGTTCTGACAGGACCTGCCTCGAATGAACCCATATTGGTTGCCCCTAAGCATAACCTCCCTTGCTGGCCCCTCGTGGATATGTGCCAGGAGAATTCTCTCAAAAAGCTTACCCAGGATCGAGGTAAGACTAACTGGCCTATAGTTTCCTGGGTCCTCCTTCTTCCTTTTTTTGAAAACGGGAACCACATTGTGTTGATGGGAGTCTGAAAATGCTGATTCATAGCTATGAGTATCTTTTTAAAAATTCCAAGATGATGAAAATCAAGATGATCAAAAAAGTTCCAAGATGATCAATTCTGTGGACCAGAGTGGATCTCTTTGAGAGAGAATCTTGGAACTATCAGAATCTCTTCACTTTTTCTAAGTGTAGTCACTATATCACAATGCAATGAAATTGATAAGACTTCTCAGTTCTCAGCTCAGCAATGTGGTAATTTCTAAGGCAGTGCTGTTATGAGTATGGAGCTAGATCATAGTCACCTTCAAGTGAGACAGAACTAACTGTAGTTATGTCCTTTATCTAGAGAAGGGGTAATGTCATGATGGGATGTTGCAGGAGCACATCTTATTTGGTAAGCTCAATAGCCACAGGGATCCCTAAATACAAACCTATTCAGGAAAGTCTATAAACACGTACTTTGAACATAGGATTAAGACCTATTGAACTTGCTTACATGTGTCTGGGGCCTTTGTCTTCTTGGAAGCAGAGGCATGTAAAGGTTAACTTGCCAGTGTGGAAGGTTATTTCAACTAAGATCTTCTGCCTCTGGCAGAACTCTAACCCTGGTGATTCAGAGGGTTGTGGAAAACCCATCAAATGATGCTATGTAGTTGTGCAATGCTGGATTAGGAAGAAAATTGTCTTCATCTGGGCTGTACCTTAGGTCAGGAGTTCATTAACTATGAAATTTACGTTCATTATGTTTGATATGCAGGTCAGAATAAGATTTGTTTCTCTCCTCTCCATATAGCTATCTATGTTGGTTTTGCAAATGCCAACAGGAGTAGATTTTAGTAAATCAGAAAATATGACTGAATTCACCTAAAAGGCCTGATTTATTCAGCAAGGTGACTGTTTTCACATGGTTGCTTTTCTTACTATGCTTGCTCACTAATTTAAAAAGCTTTCCCTCTATAAAAGCACACCTGCTAAACGAGATCTTCTATAGCAGTGTTTCTTGAACTGGAGTATGCCTCTCTCAGGGGTAGTTGGCAAACTTGTAAAGGATGAATGAGATGAAGGAAAGGGAAACCATTAAACAGTAAAAGAGAAATATAAATGGGACAAAAAGAAGAAAAAGACAAATTAATAGTAATTCTGTAACATCTTTTATGTTGTTGAAGTGACTATAGTGACATAAAGTGCCAGATCTTATTCTACCAATTTGGCATATGCATGGATTTATATGCCTAAGTGCAATTCTGTTCCACCCTGCTCAACTCCCTGAAAATCCATTAATGGGTCTATTTCTATAGCACACTGTCATCTTACTCTTCTGACTTGATCACAAAAAAGCAATGAGGAGGAGGGGAACACCTACTTAGTTTTTCCAGGACTTGAGCAAGGTGAAATAGGATTTCATTTAGGCATCAAAGTCCACCTTCATATCTAACAGGTGGAACACAATCTGGTCCTACCTCAGGCAGTGGCTTGGACAAGATGACCTCTTGAGGTCCCATCTAGCTCTACTTCTCTGAGTTATGACCCAAAGTGTTCCTTTCCATTATCCATAACTTGTCAACATAGGGATACACAACAGTATAACAGACTTGAAAGGCAAAGCAGTCCAAAACATTTGAGAGCCACTGTCCTAGTGTTAGCATTGCGATATTGGCTGGCTGCAGTCGTGCCCAGCAGAGCACCTTAAATTAACAGACAACTTTGTAGCCAAGTGTGAAGAAGTTAGAACTCCTCACTGCTCAGGCAGGTTTTACAGCAGAGGGAGTGTTTACAGTTACGGTTTTACTGCGGAGGATTGACTTTTGCTGTCTTCATCTGGTCCCAGTGGGATTGCATCTGACTCTGTCTATCTTTTGCAAAAAGTTACAATTATAGATTTAGATTTATATAATGTTTTCCAGCTAAAAGAAATAGCAAAATGTAGGAGGCGTGGAGGCAGGAATCTACATTTTGGTTGTGCTGAGGGGGGAGGGTTGTGTGCCATTTTGAATTTCATTTCTTTTAATAATTGTAAGAATTGCAGCAGTTTTGGTTTAATACTTGTTCACTTTTTTCTTTTCTTTTTTGTAACGCCCTTCCTTAGGTACCTTTTAGAGCAGGACTTTCCAGGCATGAGGATTGGTCCTGAGCCTACCACAGATTCTTTCGTTGCTGTGATGTATGGAGATGCAGAAGGGAGTACTCCTGGAAATGCTCTGGTGGTGGACCCGAAGAAGCCATTCCGCAAACTCAGCCGCTTTGGAAATGCTTTTCTGAACAGGTAGGGGCAGGCTGTTTGCTTGGTTCTTGTTTTTTAGTTAATCCAGTTTTCTCAGCACTTTCAAGCCTGCTATTTTTCTGCTATGTTGCTAACAGTGCAAAGGGTGCATGTCCAAATCCAGTAACCAGTAACTGAGAGTTGCTGAATTACAATATTATAAAAGCCTAAGTCGGTCGGTCGGTCTGTCTGTAATGCTTTATTTGCGCTCTGATTGGCTGATGGAAATAGCCAATCAGAGTGCTCCAAGCGTGGGGGAGCACCACCATGATTCCAAAGCCTCACGGAGGACTGGGCAGAGGGTGGCAGCAGCACTGGCCTTGGCTCCCCCACCCCGCTCCCTGCAAGAGGCAGAACAGCAGCAGCATGGGGCATTGGGTGGCGTCACTCCATCCCAGCCCCCTTCCCACCCCCCGCCCGTCATTCTTGATGGGCAATTGGCTAGTATTTTAATAACTAAATAACACAGTTCCATGTACTGCAGTGCATTTTTTTAATGAAGTTTAACATTACAGCTGTTGACTGAGAGGGGACATATCATTCAATAAATGTAGTGAGGATGATCAAACAAAAATAAGGTATATATTCAGTTTCAGGAATTGTGTATTTGAGAAACTTGCCAAAAGGTGCTGAGAAACTTGTCAGTTAAAGGTGTCTCATTAGTAAAGAGAATGGTACTAGTTGCTTAGTACCCATCAAGTGCCTGTTGTGTGGTGTGTCCATATCTGAGCTATATGAGAGCAACTTTTCTGTGGTTCTGATTGACCAGAGGCCCAACAGCTCTTTAGAGTAGTGACTGATGGGAAAATTAAAAGGCCTGCTAAAGGGACCTTAATGGAAAAAAAGCCATATTACCATTGACTAGTAGAACAGGTAAAAACAACCCACTGGGGTTTCTTTTTGTAGGGTGTTGGTTGTGTCTTTACATAAGTGCACAGACGTTAACTGATTATGAGACTTGTGACTTGGAGCAGAGGATTACATACATAAGGTATACACATTGTGTAAAATCCCTCAGCCCTTGAGTTAAAAATATCACTTAATTTCAGTAGAACTGACTAAGTAGGCACTGTGGGATGTAGCATGCTTTTTTTCCTTGCTCCATTTAGTGGTTACTTGAAGAGGAAGCTTGTGCCTCCAAGACAAGTTAAGTTAAATTGATTTCCTTTTAACACTAATGTTTCCTGTTCTGCTGCTAAAGTCTGGCTTGTGTGCTAGCAGGGCAGAGCATACAGCATTATCTCATGCTCTATACAGCATGCTTCTCATGGAAAAAAGGCTGTGGCTGCTCAGACCTAGGTTGACTGTTAGTCTGCTATGAGATGTGCTCATGTAAATTGATGATAGCAGCTCTCTGGGGACCTGCAGTCATACTTTAATTACATTTCTATAGCAAACACTCCTTGCTGGTGTGCTCCTCCCATGTCATGCAGATGTCTGAATTGCTCCACTGGTTTTCCCCCTTTCCTACTATAGCGGGTTCAACTTAGCTTCACTTTCAAGGCCTTGAGTAACTTCCCCCTTGCCTTCATTTGAGTTCTTTACTTTTTTTCTTTCCTTCCTCTCTCACTTGTCACTGTCAGCAGTACAGTCTTGGCATCCCCTTGTATTACTTTTAATGTTTCTGTCATAGAACCTTCCCCTTTGTTTTCCCATTAGACTGGAATAATCTTCCAACTCCAGTGCTCCAGGGTCTGTTTTTCCTTTAAATTCAGAACCTGCTTTCCACCAGGCTACTGTCATTGATCAAATGATTTTTGCACCTGAACATAATTGGGCAAAAGGAGAATTTAGCAAACAAGCATGCTGCTGCCATTGGTGTTCATGCATAGCGAATGTAATTAAACATAAGATCTTCTTATAATCTTTTTCCCTTTCACTCTATCCTCCTTTTTCTTGCTCTTCATAGTTGGCATGTCTGTAACTGAATTTCTAAGCATATTGGTTCAGGGGCTGCTCCTTTTATTTGCTCTGTGAAAAAGGCTAGCATGCTCTTGGCTGCTGATAAAGCACACAAGAAGGGAAAATATTGCAAAATGGCAAAAGGTCATGGGAAATAAATGTATATTTCATTCAAGTTAGAGCCTTTAATTCCTTGATTGCATGCTGTCTTATACTGCAGACACAAGTGAATAAAAGCCAAGAGGCATGTGCAGCCTTAATTTGCCTTTGATTTTTTAATGCTATAAAACCTTTTTCCCGGCAAATATTTGCAAGATTTCTTGTTGATTTCATTCCCACAAAGAGGATTACTTTTATAGTACTCATAGTATCACTATGTATGTTTATGTGTGGTTTGAGTTTTACAGTTAATTTAAAATACAGAAAACATGATATAGATTTATAGATGCTAGGATCAGAAAGGACCTCAACAGATCATTGAGTCTGACCCCTGCCTAGGCAGGAAAGAGCACTGGGGTCAGATGACCCCAGTCAGATGCCTGTCCAGAGCCAGTATATAATGAACCATCCTGTATGCACTAATCGAGAAGAAGCTTTCACATAGATATCTGCTGCACAGTAATGCTCTGTTTTCAGGCACCCACTGTGTAACTCTGTTCTTTGAAGCAAATTATGTGTGCACCTTGACATAAAGGTACGTAGAGGACAGTATTCTTTTAAACTTAACTCTGAACTTGCATTTTAGGTTCAAAATATGCTTTAAACTTGTCATAAAAATAGGGTCTAAAATAAATATTTTGGTGTAGTTGGGCTTACAGCTTGAAATTGTGGTATGAAATAAGAGGCTGAACTATTTTTTTTAATATTTTTTTCTTTTGTAACAGGGCTCCCCTTTGTTTTTAGGCTGTTGCCTATTTTAGAAACTATAGCCAGCTCTTTCTAACTTCAGTCTATACTCATCTTACTCTTGGCCCCACCCACCTCCCCAGTTTCTCTTCTGTACTTTACTAATGTCTTGTGTAATCCAGCAGTGCTATCCCCATAGCTAACTCTTGCTCTTGTTTTTCCTGCATAACCTGTTGCTGGTGTTACGTCATTTGGCTTGAGGAGAAGTTTGAACATTGCAGCATTGTTCTGCTGAAATAAAGATTGTCGTCTCATAAGATATATCCTGAAAGTGCTGGTTGGTCTCAAACAGATCCTAGACTTTCTACAGAGAGATGAGATGTTGTGAGAATACATAACTAAGAAAAATATCAGTATCTGTGGGACTGCTAATAAGGAAGCTGTTTACCTGGTGTGTGTTAGCCTTTGTGCTTCTTGGTCTTGTGTTTAGACTGAAGACTCATGCTAATTAGCACGTAGGAAGTGGGGAGGTAGTATGTTGTAAGTGTTGCATGTTTAAGAGATCTGCTTCCAGGCATGGCAAGCTCTCAGTCGAGACATGGCTTTGACTAGGTTATATCTGAGGCCCTAGGGTTGCATTTGTTTTTATTGATACCTACATAGTGTAATTCATCAAAAACTGGCTGGTTTGTTGCTTCAGGGTCAGTATGTCCTATTCCTCCTAGTGTCTCTTGGAGCCAAAGATTTTTTTTTTTTTAAGTGTCTCATTTTCAGAAGCAGCATGTAACTTTAAATAGAAAATGTTACTTCAGTATTTGGAGCATTTGCTATACCTAACACTCCTGAATATTCTTTCTTTGGGAAATATGAGATTAACTTTTAATTATCTTAAGTTATTGTCAGGTTAAGGTGGTTACCTTATTTTTGTCATTTCTAATTCAGATGGAGTGTTTAGCCTTGTGATATTTTGCATTTTTTAGGAACTGAAAAAAAACTCTACTTTTGTTTTAAAAATAGAAATTTCCAGTCTATATGATTGCAGCGAAGAGTCTGAGAATGTGCTAACTGTACATTTTAAGGGCCCAGAAATAAGAACAAAAAGTTAAAAGAACCTCACAATTATCATTTAATAAAACCTTGCATGGTTTTTTCTTTAATGTTTGCCATCAACAGTACTAGCAACCCCAGTGTTCATCTCAATCTAAAGGGGCCTTTGTTTAGGCCTCATGCCCTTAAGTGTGGGGGATCTCTAGAAACAATCTACAGCTGTTCTAAGTGTCTCTTTTTCCTCCCCTGCAGGTTTATGTGCTCTCAGTTACCTAATGAGGTTCTGAAGAGCATCAGTATCATTGACAGTCCTGGCATTCTTTCGGGAGAGAAACAACGCATCAGCAGAGGTGAGCTGTGGCAGTCAAAAGGAGATGAAGCCACTAGTTAGTTATTTTGCTTTTGTGGGTAATTCACTCATTTCTCTTGAGGACTTATTCCAGTGGCTTACCAGCAGTGCAATACCACTGGGACCTGAGAGATGCGTATCTTGTGTAAGTCTCTGTTATATACACTGTACATGTATTGTCATCCATGTTTTGAGATTAGTTTTAGGAACTGGGATCAGCAGTCCTTTTACAATGGGTTAATGGCACAATCCTTTTTTTTTCTTTTAAGGGGAAAAAAGCATTGCATTGAGTCTTTCAGAATGTATCAAACATAATTCCTTAATTGATATAAAATTAGGAAAAGGTTAAAAAAATAAAATCATAGTAGTTACACTAGAGGCAATGATTTTGTGGTAGATATTTTTTATTGAACCAACTGCATGGTTGGGATGGACTTAGAGAAACTTTACAATGCAAAAACATTTATCATCAGGTCTGAAGGCAGTAGCAGGCACAACTGTTTTTTAATCAATCAGTTTGAAGGGATGTGAAATTGAAGGAGACAGCAATTCCTAGGGGTAGCAGAAAAACAATTAATTGAAAAAAAAAGATAGCATGATTGTTGGACCTTTTAGAAAGGAAAAGGGTCATTATCACCTGTTGTGTGAGAGAAGATTTTCAGGAATCAGGTAGATTATGGTATGCCATAAAGTCGATATCTGTGTTCAATCCTTGGTTCTTAGTGCCTGGCTGGCTTATAAATTTTTGTTCCTAGGCTCATCTTTGGAAGGTATTTCAAAAATTTCCCTTAAACACAAGCATAGTGATGTCAGAAAGGGTCTGGTTGTTCTGTGAGAAATGTGCTCCTACTGGTATTTGTGCCTCTCCATTATGTATTTTTTTTTCCGTGAGAAGTAATTGTGGTGCATAGTTTGTCTCATTTCACCTGCATAGTTACAATGAGGGTATTTGGTGCACTGGGTCAGATATATCATGTTTTGGGAAAGGCATGCATAGGATCCGTGAATTCTGATGGGGTTCCTTGTAGGAAAGTAATCATGTTAACCAAGCTGCATCTCAGTTGATGTCTGTTGAAGAGTAGGGAGTTTGCTTCCGGTGATAAGCTGGGCAAGGTTAGGGGTTTATTTGAAAGCCAGGAGTGGAGAGGCTGGGAATATTTCTTTCAAGGTCTGGTCTTTGTTAAATATAGGCTGTAACTGCTTGATGACTCAATCAGTTCAAGTGTGGGGTGGTAGGTGACCACCAAAGATGTGCAGTCACTGGGAGGTTTCTTTTTGTACTGTAGCAGGTTACTATGGGATATTTGAGTGGCTCTTTCAAAGATATAGTCTATTTCTCTACTGGAATGTCCTTGCATAAAGGCAGATTGCTGGTTGGCAAAGTGGGCATTGCAAATATTCTCCTCAGAGCAGATGCAGTGATATCTGAGGGCTGACTGTAGATTAGTTTTTGTGGCTTGCTTCGAATGATTGCTGATTTTGTGGATGTCAGTATGGTGATCCATGAGGGTTTTTTTGAATAAGGTAGTTTGTAAGGTGCAATCATAGATGTGGATTGTGGTATCTAGAAAGTTGATGTTAGTGTAGCAATATTTCAAAGAAAATTTGATCATGGGGTGATAGTTAATAAAACCTGTGGAGGAAGTCAGCGAGTCCAAATGATGAAAAGTCTTCTATGTAACCACTAATAGAGGGCATATTTGATGTCACAGTTTTCTTTCATGTGCTGCCCTGTCAAGGGACTTTGTGCCCACAGCTGTGCCCATGGTTTGAAGGAAATGTTGGTTGTGAAAGTGAAACTGTGGGTCAGGATGAAGTGGATGATTTGTGCAGCGTGTTGCAAATCTAAGTGTCTGTGTTCTTGTATGTATTTCAGGGAGGCATCTGTGCCTTGGTGGTGTGGGATGTACTGTACAGGCTGGTGACATGCATGGCTACAAGTATCACCTTTTTGGGGAGGAGATTGATGCTCTGCAATTTGATGAAGTCTGTTATGCCTGGCAGAACACTTGCTTTTTGAGTGACAAGTGGTTTCAGGATAGTTTCTCTGAATCTTGCTAGCTCTTCAACTGTGGTACTCTCACTGAATGTGATGGATCTGCCAGAGCTACCACTGTTTGTGGACTTTAGGGAGCATAGAGTTACACTAGGTATTGACTAGCTAAGGTTCTTATAGGTTTTTCTTTTCTTTTTTTGTTTTAAACTACAGTACCAGTTTTCATAAGCTATCTATTTTGCACTGTATAACAGTGCATAGGTTATACATCTCTCTAACATTAGAAAAGTAGGAGATGAGGTGGCAGTTCATGAAATGTTCACATTACTAAGTATAACCAATGTAGACTGTAAATCATATGTTCTCAGTTTGGGCAGAACTAGATGGACAGCTTATCAAGATAATATGATGTGTTATGTATATAAATAGCATGTGTCCAATTATGTGTAACTTTGCCAGACTTTAACTGTTTTTCATGCTGGCTGTCTGCTTCCAAGCAGTGTTTTGGAAAAGTACAGCACAAACAGTTCAACTGCTCTTGAGAATGATGCTAAGGAAAAAGACATTGTTTTGTTTAGGCCTAAATGGGTGGGTGTGTATATAATATAAAATAGGTTTATATATAAAAATAAATAGTTGTTTTTGTCACAACCCAGTGATTTTGGTGCCTCGGCACTATGGAATTTCCTGGCCACATGCGAGCTCCTTTGCACGGCAGAGTGTTCTGCTGCAATTGAGAGCCTGCGTGCAGGAGAGAGTTCCCGCCAATTTACAGTTTCCTTTGCAGGATGCATTTCTTCTTTGCAGCACAGAAATGCACGGTGCAAAGAGTTCCCGCTATTCGGATGCAAATTTGTGCCCCGCTATTGGCCAGTGCTAAATTATTCACATGTGGCGGCTAGTAATTGGCTCGCTGGCCGTTTAAAATTCCGCGCGACTTCCGCCCAAGTTGAAGAGCTTTGAGCACGCTGCAGAGTGCCTCTGAAGTTATCTGACTTGCGGCTGCCGATCGATAGACTGATCACCTATCGATCTTTCTTCCCGTCAC